TAGTTGGAAATAATTATCAAAGAATCTCAAACTTTTTCATAATTTTTGACCCAACAATTATAAGAATTACATTATTAGGGTTCTTATTATAGTTGAAATTAACTGCTATAATTTAGCACATCCATTATAAAAATTATAGGAATTTGTTCTAAGGAAAGATTGTGAGCAAAAAATAAAATAATGTGAGCAAAAAGTAAAATCTAAACACTTTTTCATGTATCTTTTAGATGAGATCATTTGAAAACATTAAAAATAGTGTTTTATAATATTTAACATGAGAAATGCTTATAACATACTGTGATTAAAATTTTGGAAAAGTATATACACATATATAGAGAGAAAGGTGGGAATACACAACAAAATGTTACAATTTTTCTCAGAAAACTGGGATGTCCATGGCTACCATTTTCTTCTTCATAGTTTTCTACATCTGTAGGTGTCTACCATAAACATGTGTTTATGATCATAATATTCATCTTCATTTTAAGGCTGAATACGTACAGTAATAAAGACAAAATATACTTGTCAAAGTATGATGTGGTTTTTGATAATTAACTTTTTGTATGTTTCCAGTTATTCTAATTTTGCAACAGTACATTGATATTTTACTTCTAAAAATGAGAACTGTTATTTAAAAATAAAAGCATTCCCTGGTATCGCAAATAAATGAATAAAAATAAAAGCATTCTCCCCAAAGCCGGTGGATTTCCAGGCTGGCTTCAGTGTTTGCCTGAGCTGGATTTGAGTCTCAGATGATCTAGGCTCCTCCCAGTTTGGAACATTATGAGGAACCATAATGACTCTTGAGCAACCTGTGAAGCTAAGCGTGACACATAATAAGCAGCGTCTATGTCTTTCATCTATAGCTGAGGGTTAACTTAGCCTCTGGAAGGAGCTCAGGTTAGGAACTGAAGGGCCAACCAAGGCACAGATACAATCCCAGATGATGCCAAAGGCCATTGGCAGAAAACAGTGGCCAGAGTCCAAGGGATTCACGGCCCTTTGGACCCAAGCGGTGCCTGCAGTAGTTGTTAGTATTTAATAATCACATCCACATGCAAGGCACTGTGCAAAGCACTGTATGAACTGGATCCTTGCAGTGACTGTATGAGGCAGTGGATTTGTAGATGAAGAATCTGAGCCTCAAAGAGGTCTAATACCTGTCCAACTTCATGCAGTTAGCAACTAGTGGGGCAACTTGTCCAAGAGTCTACTTTTCATATGCAAGAGATCATGTGGAGGCTAGCAGGTCCCCTCTCATTGGTCAGTTCTAGGCCACTGAGAACCAATAGAGATTCAAACAGAAGTCTGTTTGCAAGCACTAAGCCAAGGCAACTGCAGATGAAAGCAGTATGGTTGAATGTGGGAGATGAGATGGTCTTGTGTCTGGAGATCCAAAAAGGTTCACAGGAAGATTACTGTCTCGAATCCTGACATTAACATAGAAAAATGGATGGCATCAGTGAATGGCTGTGAGCAATACAGCCAAACTGTCTGGATTCAAAATCAGGCTTTGCATTTCTCCTTTACACATGCACCCATACTATCAGACCTTGGCTGCCTCATCTATAAACTGGGGGTAATAACAGTACCTACTTACTTGAGTCAGTGTAGAAAGTAAATGCAAAGTGCTGTGAAAAGTAAATATAAAAAACCTTTGTAAGTAATAAGTTCTCAGTAAATCTTAGTTCAAATTATTTGTTGAAAATTTAAAATTAATCACTATTAACTAATTCTAGGCAGAACTCTTGAAGACATTGGCATAGGAAAAGACTTTATGAACAAATCCTCAGTAGTGCGGGAATTAGCAGAAAGAATTAACAACTGGGATCTCTTCTTATTAAAAAGTTTCTGCTCTGCAAAATAAACCATCAACAGAACTAAGAAACAACCTACAATGTGGGAAAAAAATTTTTACCAGCTGCTCCTCAGACAAAGGACTATTATCTAGAATATATAAAGAACTCAAAACAATCAGCCCCCTCCAAATATAAAGACCCAATTCAAAATGGGCACCTGAAATGAACAGACATTTCTCAGACAAAGAAGTAAAAGCAGCAAGAAAATATAAGAAAAAATGTTCCACATCACTGGTCATTCGAGAGATGCAGATGAAGACAACACTGAGATTCCACCTCACCCCACAAAGAATGGCTGCTATCAAGAAATCAACCAACAACAAATGTTGGCAGGGTTGTGGGGAGAAAGGAATCCTTCTCCATTGTTGGTGGGAGTACAGACTGGTGCAACCACCATGGAAATCAATATGGAGATACCTCAAAGAGCTGGGACTAGAGGTTCCATTGGACCCAGCCATCCCTCTGCTGGGTATCTTTCCAAAAGAATTAAAAGAAACATACCACAGTGATATATGTGCACCCATGTTTATAGCAGCACAGTTTGCAATAGCTAAAACTTGGAAACAGCCCATTTGCCCATCTGTTGGAAACTGGATAAAGAAGATGTGGTTTTTCTATAAAATAGAGTACTACTACTCAGCCATAAAGAATGAGAAATTAGAGTCATTCATAGGAAAATTGGTACATATTGAGGATATACTCTTAAGTGAAATAAATAAGTCACACATGTGTAAATACCGAATAGTCTCTCTGGTGTGAAAAGCTATAATATATTGTACACAAGATCCTAACGGGATAATTAACAATGTGAAATAGGAAAGTGGGAAAGTGGGAAGGGTAGGGTAAAGGGAACAAGGGAAAAGAAAAAAATTAGAAAATGAAAAAATGAAAATAAAGTGTTTGTAAATGGCGAGCAGGGAGGGGGTGAAGGGAGGGCAGGGACAAGGGGAAAAAATGAGAACCAAGACCTGTTATGTGAAGGTACAGGATCCCAGTAATGATTGTAACTGTATTGTATACCTAGATTGTACCAATAAACTCAATAAAAATAAAAAATAAAATAAAATAAGATATAGAATCTCCAAGACATTAGAGAGGAAAAAGTTAGAAAAGGGAATTAAAAACAAATATGAAAAATACATAGAAAATACTAAATAAGATCACAGAAATCACCAGTGGTTAACATATGGATATATAAATGGGTAAATTCACTCACAAAAAGTTGGACTCTCAGATCTTTAACTTTTGTTTTTAAAAATAAAATCAGCTACATACAATTTACAGGAGATACACCATGTGTGTGTGTGTGTGTGTGTGTGCGCACACGCATGTGGGGTGGACTGAACCCAGAGCTACATCTCCAGTCCTTTCTTTGTCTTGTTTTTTGGGGGTTGTTTTGTTTTGTCTTCTTTTGTTTTTCTTGTTTTGATTCATTTTGTTTTGAAGACAGGGCCTCACTAAGTCTCTGGCCCAAGCTAGGCTCAAACTTGTGATCCACCTGCCTCAACCTCTAAAGTTGCTGGGATCATAAGCATGAGCCACCACACCCAACTATGTATACTTTTTAAAATAAAAGCCATTTTGAAAGCAAAAGAATTGGGACAATTTTAGATAAATGCTAAGACAACAAGGTTGAGATCAGGATTGCTACAAGAAAGACAGAAAACGAGACCATTGTGTATGGTGCCATCTTCATAGAGATAATAATAAACAAAAAGGGCTGGGAATGTAGCTCAGTGGCAACAAACCTGCCTGGCAAGCCAAAGGTCCTGGGTTCAATTCCTGGTACAGAAAATAAATACATAAACTAACTTAACTAAACAGCAGGAACCTGACACTGTCTGCTCAGATATCCCCAGATATTACCCCATTTGGCCCCAGCCCGGATATTCCCAGGCTTTTCCTGCCATGTGCGCACTATCTGGACTGGCACTCAGATATGACACTCACCTGGGGCAGGTGACCACTGTGAACACTATGGAGCATCCATAGTCTGACGCAGGGTAAAGGCGGACAGAGGGCTGGGATTTCCCAGCTAGAGAGACCAGTCATGGGGAACCAACAGGACAGGTCTGGTGCTGCCCCTCAGATCAGCTCTCCCCTCCAGCACCTTGGCCCATATCTGCCCGCCCTCACCTCTGGCTGAGCCTGTAGTTGATGGAGACCCTGGGCTTTCCCGTCCCAGACCTCATGGACCACCTGCTGCCATGAGGCAGAGACAGCACAAGCCGCATTTCCAGGGTGCACGTGTGCCAGACTGGTTCGGAGATATTTGCACCCCTATTTATAGAGCATGGAGCCGAGTTCCTTACAGACATCTTCGCTCCTCACGCCCACCCTCTGAGGAAGGTACCATTGTCACCCGAAGTTTAAGGAAGAGGAAGAAGTCGAACGGGGTGGGGAGTGGGGGTTAGGGCGCTTGTCCAGAGTCCCCCAGGAGGCAAAGGGAGGAGCTGACCATCATCCAAGTCGGTCTTCTGGAACCTGAAGTTTTAAATAGTTGTGGTCGTTTGTGTTTTTCGTTATCCTTCACCCAAGGTAAATATTTTATGAATGTTGTGGTCTTGTTTTTTTGGTAAGCTCTGCTGCAGGTGGCCTTTCTCCTTGATATGTACACATTCAGGCATAATTGCACATAGATGCGCAAATGTAATCATATGTATGGCTTTTACAGCAGACCTTTCTTATTTTCTTGGCTCTCTCTTCCTCTCTCATTTCTCTTCTTCCCACGGGTCCCTCACAGGTAACATAAATATCTATATCACCTATATTTCCCTTTATTCTTCTATAATCCTATTCTTTGCCTACCCCACAACACCTCCCCCTCCACCAATCTCTCTTTCTCTCAAAGTCATATTTACTTATCTCTAACGCTCCTGACTTTCTCCTACAATCTTGTGATTATATTGAGCCTATCTAGATAATCCAGAATAATCTCCCCATTCCATGTTCTTGAATCACATCTGCAAAATATTTTCCCATACAAAGTAACATGTTCACAGGTTCCAGGAGTTACAATGTGAGCATCCAGAGAGGAGACATTATTCATCCTTTATACAATGTAAATGAATAAAAGATAAATTCATCACCCCCAGTTCCCAAGACTCTTCGGCCCCCCACCCCCTCATTTCTGGTTTCTGATGTGTTCTGCTAAAGATGGTTTATTCTTCTCTATTTTCTGCCCCTATTTCCTGCCCCTGACTTCTTTTCACTTAACACCATATCTTAGTGTTTGTCTCATGGTCTGGGCCTGGGCTCTGAACCAGTAAAGTCATGAGACATGGATGGAAATCCAGTCCAGCAGGGAAAAACACGACCTCCAGATGGCAGGCGGCAGGCACTGGAAAGTCAGGCTGTGTCAGGGATCCTGACAGATGGGTGGAGGCCCAGGCTTGGGAACCTTGATAATATTTGGAATTCCAGGAGGTGGATCAGCTGCAAGAACTGTGTCATCAGGAATCTCCAGCTACTGAACTGGTTCAAATGCAGGATCTGGGTGGTGGGAGAGGAGTGGTGAGAGGCAGAAGGAATTCAGTCCTGGGCACGTTACCAAAACAGGCACTCAGAAACAGAGAGCTCAACAACCACAGAAACAATCCCACAAATGTTTACTTGCTGGCTGCTACGGGACAGGTGCTGAGCCAACTGCTGCCACACACCTAGGAAGAGACAGCTGTGATTCACTTCCTCCCACAGCCTCACGGTCAGAGAAGCTATTGCTGTCCGGTATTGTAAGCACTGTGTGATGGAAGGAAAGAATCCTAGGGAGACTAGAAGTGGGAGAGGAAAGCAAAATTAATCCAGATATATTTGACAGGGTAGGCAAAGTGCCTCAAAACCCTCAAACCTCAATGACTTAATACATAAAGTCTGTGTCTCACTGGGTTAAAAGCTCATGCTGGCTGGGGGGAGAGTAGATGGGACTTTGCTCCACAGAGACGTTCAGAGACCCAGGGTCCTCCTATCTATCTAATGGCTCCACTGCCCTCCGGCAAGGATATTGTTTCTCCCAGGATCCTCTACATCCACTTGGTAGAAAGAAAGAATATGGAGGATAACAGGGGAAGTTTTCATTGGTCAGGCTTTGAGTAATGTTCATCATTTTGCCCACTTCCCATTAGCCAGAACTCAGTCACATGGTCCCATCTCTCTGCAATGGAAGTTGGGAAATATAATCCAACTGTGCACCCGAGAAGATAAAGAATCAGGGTTTGGTGAACTCACAGTAATTTGTGCTGTAGTAAACTTGGGAAGCAGGGGTAGACCACTTGGAGGAATGACTTCAAAACTCACACCTGGAGGAGGAAGATTGTATTATGGTTTGGATCTTGAATATCTGCCAAGGACTCATGTGTTAAAGATTTGCCCCCAGTGTAGGAAGGTTCAGTGGTGGGGATTTTGGAAGGAGATTGGATCATTAGAGATCTAACTTTATAGATGAATTAATCCACTCATGGGTTCATAATTTGATGGCATCGTTAGATGATGAAAACTTAGTTGAAAGGAGTGGGCCATGGGGATAGCCCCTTCCTCTCTGGTTCTTTCCCTCTCTACTTCCTGGCCACCATGATATGAGCAGCCTTCCTCTGCCACACACTTCATGATGTGTTGCCTTACCTTAGGCCCAGAAATAATGACGACAGCTAATGGTGGACTTTAACTTGTGAAACCGTGAGCCAAAATAAACTTTTCCTTCTTTAAGTCGTTTTCCTCAGATATTTTGTCACAGCAATAGAAAACTGACTAACGGATATAAAGAGTTATCAGGACAAAAATAAGGAAGGAGAAGAAAAATTGTTTTAGACAAACTGGCCAGCACAAACAGAACCCCAATCATTAAAAGCATGATGTGGGCTGGGGATTTAGCTCAGTGGTTTCACTGCCTGCCTCACAAGCACAAGGGGCCAGAGTTTGATCCCCGATACCAAAAAAAAAAAAAAAGATGATGTGTTGCTCATCCTTAGGGCAAAAGGCAAGCCAAGGCAGTGAAGCAACCACTGTGGTTGCATTAGACAGGGCTTTATTATCTGGGCAAGGAATTTATCCCAAGGGTAAGTGAAGCTATGGAAGATTTAGAAATTCAGCATTGAATTTGTATTTTAGAAAATTTTCTAGAGGAGAATCAAAGAAGATGGCAGAAGACCAGCTCCCAAAGTGAGAAAGGATAACAGTATGAACTCCAGAAACGGCAAGAGATGGAAGTAGACAGTTCCAGACATCAGGAAGTGCATTTACAAGGTTTAAGGTAAATTAGACACAGGATGTATTAGTCGTTTCACACCGCTGGAATGAAATACCTGACACTGCACCTTAAAGGAAGAGAGGCTCACATTGGCTCAGAGTTTCGGTGAATCCAGTATATAGTCAGCTGGCTCCAAGTCAGAAACAACGGGGCAGACAGCATGGCAGAGGGAAGCTCTTCCCCACAAAAGGCAAGAGAGACTTGAGGACAACGATATACCCCTCTAACGTGGGTGTGGAGGCCCATACCTGTAATTACAGCACTCAAGAGACTGAGGCAGGAGAATTACCACAAGTCTGAGGTCAGCCTGGGCTACGTAGATGTTTCAGGTCAGCCTAAACTACATAGAGAGACTCTGTCTCAAAAAAAAAAAAAAAAAAAAAAAAGAATCTATCCTTCCAACCCCCTGTGACCCATCTTTTCTGACCAGGCCGCACCTCCAAGCAGCACAGTTAGCTGTGAATTCACCAGTGGGCGGGTGCACTGAGGAGTAAACCACCCCCCTTGTTCTAGTCACTTTTCAAAAGTCTTACCTCTGAACACGAGGCCTTTGGAGAACATGTTTTATCTAAACCCTAATGCACAGCAAAGCAATGAAGATGAATTATGGACTAGGACCATGTTTTCATGTGGAATAACTGGATGGCTAATCATTCTGTTTCCCAAGAAGAGCAATAACACTGACTGTTTGGGGGTGGAGTGAGTTTTACTTTGAACTTCGTGAGTTTGTGATGCCTATGGGACACTTAGAGATGCTCTGAAGTCGATTCCATATGACTCTGGAGATCTAGAGAAACGTTTAGGCCGCAGAGGTACTCATGAGGGTCCATGAGTTCACCCCAGGAAGGAAAGAAGAGAAGGCCTAGAACAGAGACCCGTAGAAGCCAACATTTATGGGGCAGGCAGAGGAAGGGAAGCTCACACAAACATCTACACAAGGACAAAAGCGAAGGAGGGCTACCATCATGAAAACCAAGGGAAGAGAACTTCACAAAGCCATGTGTCTTAATCCCTGTTTCTGTTATTACAACAAAATACCCGAGACTGGGGAATTTCTAATTTCCAGAGGCTAGAAGTCCAAAGGCATGGACGTCAGTGGAGTTGGTAGGAGCTGGATCCCAAAGGGACAGACATGATGAGAAGCAGGGAGATGAGGGCAGACAGCTCAGGGGAGAACCTGGGCTTGAAGGAACAGAAGAACTGGGAGACGTCGCGGGCAGATTTTGCGTGACCGGTGCTAGTGTCCTGCATTTTAAGACAGGAGACGCGTTTCCTCAGCACTTTTCTTGGCACTTTGTTAGTCCTTTGGAGCTTAGACACCATCCTGGAGAAGAGTGGGAAGCCTCGGATTTGCTTAATACATTTTTAACAAATGCTCACGAAGCACTTCCTAGGCGGCAGTCAAATGCCTGCTGTGGTTTAGGCCACGGGGAGTGCAGCAGCGCCCCAGGTACCCCCAAAGCCCTCCCCCCACCGCCTTGTGACAGAGGAGACTGTCGATAAAGGCACAATGGACACATGAGGTGATGCCAACCACATTTTAGAGAAAAATAAACCAGAGAAGGGGAACCGAGGGGGACTGGGGGCAGGAAACGAAGGATAAAAGCAAGGAAATAGAACAATCCAGGTGCGAGGAGACAGGGCCTGGACCAGCGCCCACAGTGGAGATGGTGGGCAGAGAATCCATTCTGGAAACACCATGAAAGTCGAGCCAGCGGCTGCGTGGCTGAGCCCTGTGACGGGGAGGGATGAAGCTCATCTCCGGAACATGACTCGGCTACAAAAGGGGATGAAGTCCTGCCACACGCTGCAACCTGTCGGGGCCTGGAAACATTCTGCCCAGCCGGAGTCAAAGTCAGACACAGAAGGCTGCACACTGTAGACTGCGTTCCTAGGAACTACCAGAACGGGCAAATCCACGCGGACAAAACCCAACTGGAGGTTGGTGGGAGTAGCAGGGAGAGGAGGAGGGGAGGTAGTGGCTGCTTCAGGGATGTGGGGTCTTTTATGGAGAGAAGGAGATGTTTTGGAATGGATAGAAGTGACTGTGTTACACATTGTGAGTGTACATTGCCACTGAACTGTTCGCTTTAAAATGTTTTTCGTTTGTACTGGGCATTAGAACTCAAGGCCTTTTACTTCGCGAGGCAGGCAGCAGAGCCACTGAGCTAAATCCCCAGCCCTAAACATGTTTTTCT